AATCACAGCAAGCCCACTGGACAGGGTGGAACTGCCCCTTGCGGGTGTCTGAGACTGTAACTATCTGAGTCTGCAAAGCCCCATCTGCTGACCTTGCCCTTGGCAGTCCTATGCATGACCACTATTCCCCAGCGGTTCCTGATATTAGTAAAGAAGGTGAGAAATGAACTGACCGACGTTTCAAAAGTCATTCAACAAGACTTGCAGTGGAAGTTGTGAGTAAGACACACCAACAATGACACCATAGGTCTTGGCTGGCACATCCCAGTAGGGGAGGTGCCACTTAGGAGCTTCCAAAGAACGGGTCTGGAGAATCACTATCAAAGTTTGATTTTGATGTTACTCATGAGACACTCAAATGGTGACATTATGCTGCCCAAAGTGGTTGTCGTGAAGTTGGTTCTGACTCATAGCAACCCCCTGTGTGTCACCTTAGAACTGGGATCCTAGGGTTTGCACTGGCTGATGTTTTGGCAATAGATTGCCAGGCCTTTCTTCTGATGTGCTTCTGAGGGCACTAGAGCCTACATCCTTTCCGTCAGCAGCCAAGTGCATGAACTGCACCACTCAGGGGCTCCAAGACACTGAGTAGACAGCTGGATATTTGAAGTTCAGGAGAGAAGCTGATTCTAAGTGTCTCATTTTAGAAAAATACATTAAACTAAACCAAACACACAACATTCCCCTAGTTCTTTGATGCTTCCTGTCCCCACTATCCTGACACAAGTTCTACCTCCCAAATCCGGCTATACCAGAATATGGACATTGGTACAGAAAAGAGCTTTGGACACACGGAACTCAGGAGAAATAAAACCCTCAGAAACAGTAACGGGAATAGTGATACCATGTGGGTGTGGGGAGGGTGGGTGGGGAAGGGGAGAAAGGGAGAACTGATAGCAATGAGCAATGTATAACATTTCCCCCTGTGAGGGGGATGAATAACAGAAATGTGGGTAAAGGGACACAGCAGGTAATGTAAGATATGAATATATATATTATATATATATAATTTATTAAGGGTTCATGAGGGTGGTAAGGTGGAGGAGCGAAGGAGAAAGAGGAGCTGGATCAAAGGGCTCAAGTACAGGGGTAATGTTTTGAAACTGATGATGGCAACATGAGTACGCGTTTGCGTGATAATTGATTTCTGGATTCTTGTAATAACTGTAACGTCCCCCAATAAAATGTTTTTTTTTAAGAATATGAAGAAGAAGGTAAACAGCTAGCATACAGTTCTGGATATCATTTCATTTTAGAAATTGAAGGATTGGAGACAAATACAGTGAAGAAGCCCTTGCAGCCACAGGACATACCACCCCCTTTATACTGGAGAGGAGGTGTCTTCTTTCAGATCCAAAGATCTAGTGCGCCCTCAGCAACCCTCATCCCTCATACTTGACTATGCCACTCCCAACCCAGATATATCACCGAGAATCTGGCCTAAAATAAGACCTCTAAACCATGCGGCTAGGTGGGTCAAGCTAGACCAGTAGATGAATTAAAGGAACTTCGCCACAAAGCCAAGCAAACCAGAAAGATGAGCTCCCAGTAAATGCTCCTGGTCTATTTGAGATTCACAGGAGTGTGCTATGCTGCTCCTCTCCAGAGTATGGAGGGGAAATTCTGCTCAGCGCTCATGATACAAAATCATTTTTAAGAACCACAGCACTATGAGTTTATAGAGTTTTAATAGGTTTGCACTAACAGAGGCTGCTGGGTAGGGAGGTCAAGAGCATGGGTCTAGAACCACAATTTCTGAGTTTAGATCTTTGTTCCACCACCTGGCCAGATGGGGCCCTGGTGGTGCAGTGATTAAGCATTGAGTTGTGATCAGCATCATTGGCAGCTTTCTGGAGAAAGACTGGGTTTTTCCCTCCAGTGAAGAATTACAGTCCCAGAAACCCACAAGGGGCAGTTCCACCCTGTCCTGCAGGGTCCCTCTGCTTTGGAATCTATGTGATGGCAGTGCCTCAATTTCCCATTGTGGTTATTATGGGCATTCACATTCACTACACCATGATCAGCCTGGATGCTGCAAAGGTTCCCCCTCAGCCTCTAACCTGCATCTTGGCTGTGTAGATTCACCAGCTGCTCTGCGACCACCCCAGCGTGGTGGTGATGGTTTGAGCTCCGACAGGGTCTCTAGGAGTCATCGTTGACTTGATGGCCGTGAGTGAGCAGCTCTGGGAAAGAGAACATCTGCTGATCCGCTTCCGTGAAGATGACGGCCAAGTTCGTTTAACACAGGAGGTCAGCACGAGTCCAGGGCCAACTGCACGGCAGCTAACAAGCACAAAAACAAAAACAAAATCATTAACAAGTAACCCACTGCCGTTGAGTTGATGCTGACTGGCAACGACCCTGTCGGGCCAGGTAGGACACCTCCTATGAGTTTCAAGACTGCAGTTCATTATGGGAGTAGAAAGCCCCGTCTTACTCCTCTGGAGCAGCTGGTGGTTTCCAACTGCTGATGTTGAGGATTGCAGCCCAATGAGTAACCACTATACCGCCAGGGTTCCAATCAATAACAAAGCATTTAAAATGCATGTTAGTGGCCATCAAGTTAGCCCTCGTGGCAACTTCATGCACAACAGGACTGAGCCCTTGTGAGCCAAAGGGCTGTGATTGGCTGTTACTTTCAGAAGTAAACCACACCAGGTCTTTCTTTGTGATGTGCCTTAGTCTGTAAGTTCCGCTGAAACCTAGTGAGCATCACAGCAACATGTCAGCCTCCACTGGCAGGTAGAAGGCAGCTGCGCCTCAGATGTATTGACCAGAAATGAGCCCTGAGTCTCCTACCTGGAAGGCGGGAATCCACCACTGCTGTCAAATAGATTCTGACCCACAGCAGCCTGATGCAGGGGTTGCAAGGCTATAAATCTTTAGGAGAACAGACAGCCTCATCTTTCACCCACACAGCAGGTGGTGGGTTTGAACCACTGACCTTGCAGTTCACTGTCCAACGCTTACCTGACCTGGCTGCCAGGTCTCTTTTGCCACTGAATAGAACCAGCTGAGCAATAAGTGGTCAGAAAATGTTAGTTATATGCAGCAGAGGTCAGCATACTCCCTTTTATGAATGTAGAGGTGAGGCTTCTCATTGCATTTTAAAACATTGTTCATTCAGGCCTTTGAGTATTTTGATGATGGTTGAGAGGAAGAGCTTCAAAGTCACAAGTCTGAACTCACCGCATCACCTTGAAATCGGTTGAAAAGACACTGTCTTGTCACCCTTTTCACTGGTCTTGGATTGGTGTCATTCAATTCCCTGTCTCCTGTTCCACAATCCTCCACACTAAATTCATCTGAATTTTGAATGTGTACTGGAAGTGTAAAAAAGGAATGATTTCATTATCCATCAAGAAAGCACAAAATGTCTAACCCCTTGCTCAGAGATAGCAATAAATATTCTGAAATTACCTTAAACTTGCAACAGATTTATCCTCTGGCCACAGCGATGGGGAATGCAAAGGAATTGAGATTGAACCCTATTGAAAAGCGGGGTTTTGAGAGAAGCAGTTAATAACATTCCACCAGAGATATTCAAACCAACAGTGCTGCCCCCACCATCCTTTACCTACTGCACTTCAGGAAGCGTACTCAAAACCTGAGGGAGGACTAGATGCAAAGGGAACCCACCAGGAAATTGCCAGGGCTGAGGACATACTGTCGAGAAGGCACGGACCTACATAGGTTGGGCCTAAGTCTGTGAAGAATTTTTCCTCTCAAAAATAAACATGACGAATAAAAGATGAGCCATTTAAAGTCCCCAATCTGACCAGCACTGGCCTGGTCTGGAAATGTATTCAATGGTAATGAAGGCATGCAGACGGAGCGTGTGTTACCAGGGCACACAGGATATGGTCCACCTCTGGGGAGCCCTGGACTGTGTCCAGACTAGGCAAGCAATGCAGACAGAGTACCCTGGGACAGAAAGCATCTTGTCTCCCAGAGGAACCTCAAATCCAAGCCCACAGGGTCTGTCCCTGATCCTCTAAGGGTTTAGGGACATTGCTCTTGGCTGAAACCCATGAGGACTAAGGTCACAGAGCTTCTCCCTCGATGGCCAAGAAGGGCAGGTGCAAGCCACCTTAATGATGGCCACCAGCAAAAGGCCACACTGGGTGTCAGCACACCCACCCAGACTACACAGAGGACAAGGCTTGGCCCTTGCTCTGGCTGCTCAGCCCAATCTCACGTGGCGGCGACCAATGAAGGCTGCGGCTTTGGCATCACCTCTCCGCTAGGTGGCACCGAGTTCTCTGGCACTAGGAACAGAGTGGCCGCGTGCTATACCTGGTTGGCCTCTGTCCTGCACCTCAACCACCACCCTTAGTAGGTCAGCGGGCTGCGTAGACAGGTGGCGCTGCAGGGATAACTCTCATGTGTGGCTGTCCCTGCAAAGGAGAATACAAATCAGCGCAGAGTTGGGTCCTCAACAGTGTTCCGTTCTTGCAGTCCAGTTACCAGGTGGCCTCCTGGATGCACCACAGGACAGAGACAGATGGGGGGCCACCAGCTGGGGCGGTGGTTGCTCACCAGGACCTGGAACCAGAGAGACAGGAAACTGCCATCCAGCAGCTTCACTCCCAGCTCCCCAGTGCACCCAGCTGCCAGGTGGCTGGACCCCTAGACATAGGTGGGCATAAGGCTCCCAGTGCGGCGCACCTTGGCCTCCAGCAGCCAGTAGGTGAACTGGCCTTTGCGGCCCTGGTGGGCGGCCGCAGTGGCCAGGTAAGCACTAAGGGAAGGTTCTAGCGCACTGACCCTAGGATGCGTACCCTTCGCTCAGACACACACTGTGTAGCGCGGCGGTGCGCAGCCAGGGCGCGCCAAGGTCCTGGGCCAACAGCATCTGGTTGTACTGCAAGACATTGGGTCACCATCAGCCCGCCTAGGCCAGCTGCTGTGCTGTGCCCATTGGGGCCCCCGAGTCCCTGTCCAAGGTGCTGACCAGCGCCACCAGGCTCTCTCGCGCGGGCCCCAGAGGTAGCGCCGGCCTAGGTCCTCTGGGAGCTGAGAGAGGAGGTCATGTCCGCACCTCCAAGAGCTGCGGAGGCCAGCGGGGTGATGGCGATGTGGGGCGCGTTGTCGTTGACGTCGCGGATGCGCACGATGACCTTGCAGGTGGCGGCGCGGGGCCCCGGGCCGCGATCCTGCGCCCGCACGTCCAGCTCGTAGGTGTCCTGGCGCTCGTAGTCCACGGGCCCCGCCAGCGTGAGGCGGCCGGAGCGCGGGTCCAGGCGGAAGAGGCGGCGCCCCTCTGGCGGGGTGCGGGCGCCGAAGGAGAAGAGCACGTCCCCGTTGGGGCCCTCGTCGGGGTCGGCGGCGTCCAGGTCGAGCAGCAGCGAGCCCACGGGCGCGTCCTCCGCCAGTTCCACCTCGGCCACGGCGCCCTGCGGGAAGGCCGGGCTGTGGTCCTTGGCGTCCAGCACGCGCACGCTGAGGGCGGCGGTGGCCGAGCGGGGCGGGCGGCCCCCGTCCTGGGCCACCAGCTCCAGGCTGTAGGTGGCCTGGCTCTCGCGGTCCAGCTCCTGCAGGAGCACCAGGTCGGCGCACGGGGCGCCGTCCGCGCGCGTCTGCAGCTCCACGCGGAACGGGCTGTGCGGCTCGGCCAGGCGCACGCTCTGCAGGCCGTTGGCGCCCACGTCCTCGTCCACCGGCACCTCCAGGGGGATGCGCGTGCCCACGGCCGCGCCCTCGGACTCCTCCACGGGCACCTGGGCCCGGGGAAAGCGCGGCGCGTGGTCGTTGACGTCCCTCACCTCCACCTCCAGGTGCACCAGTCGGAACTGCTCCTGCGAGAAGCTGACCACGTCGAAGGCCAGCACGCACTGCGGGGCCCGGCCGCACAGCCGCTCGCGGTCCAGGCCCGCGTCCCCGATGGCCCGCTCCCCGTCGCCCTGGCGCACCAGGCTCAGTGAGCTGTAGGTGCTGGGAATTCAAAGGGATGTGGTGAACACCCAGGACGGAGCTGGCGGCTTTTCGTCATTGTGGGAAAGGACATTAAATTTCGATGAGAGATCCTGAAGGTAGCAGAAGCCACAGAAGGGGCCAGGCCTCCATCCCAACCTCTTATAGAGTGTGTCGGGAATGCGAGCTTGCAGCCAGGCATCTTCGTTCCTCAAAGCGATCAAAGACAGGCTCTGTGGGTAGAAGACCAGCCCTCTGCAGCCCTTTCAAGAGTAGTCAGGAGACACCAGCCATCTGTTCTGCTTACCCCATCGATCTGTGACTGCTTCTCTCTGCCCCGGACTAGGCAAGCTTCTTCCGAACCCTACCCAGAGGGTACGAAGAGAAGAAGGTGCCAATGAGCATCCACTGGGACCTTTCTGTTCCTCTAAAGCAGCGGTTCTCAATCTGTGGGTCGCGACCCCTTTGGAGATCAAACGACCTTTTCACAGGGACCACCTAAAACCATCAGAAAGCACATTTGCGATGGTCTTAGGAAACGAGACACCGCTCCGCTATCCAGGCAGTTCTGCCCACATGCACATGTGCCCACATACAAGTAACCAGCGTGAAGACTGTTACCCATGCTACACCATGCTTCAACACAGAATTTTATTTATTCCTAATTAGAAATAAATATTTCACAATATATACTTACATATTGTTTTTGTGATTAATCATTATGCTTCAATTATGTTCAATTTGTAACAATGAAAATACATCTTACATATCAGATGTTTACATGATGGTTCACAAGAGTAGCAAAATTACAATTATGAAGTAGCAACAAAAATAATTTTATGGATGGGGGTCACCACACATGAGGAATTGTATTCAAGAGTCGTGGCATTAGGAAGGTTGAGAACCACTGCTCTGAAGATGCTCAGAAAAGGCCCTCACAATCCCTATAGAAACTTGCCCTCCCGGCATACTGCCAGCTCTCCCAGAGTACATGTCTCTGACTTTCTGACAAGAGCTGGGGATCCTCAGCTCTGTATTCTTCCCAGAGCTCGCACACACACTCCTCAGCTAAGGCACAATGGCTCATCTGTACCATTCGAAATGAACGCATCCAGGCTCAGTGTAATGCACCTTTGCTTGGCTACCGTTATCCCTCCGCGGTGGGTTAGCGTTTCCTGTGTCGCAAGATGGCGGTGAAACGGTTTCTCCCATCGCAGGCAATGTCTAATCAGGGGAGAACTGTTTTCCAAAGCAATCATTTCGCAATAGCTTTTCGAAAGCAAAGAAACCATCAAAGCTAGTATGTGAGCCCCTTCCTCTCCTTTTATGTCAGTAATTACTTCTTACATGTGAAGAATCAGTGTCTGGCAGGGTGGTTTGTCACTGCGATCCACCATAAGGGATAGCTAAGGATAAGAGAATGACTTAGTGAAATATATTGCAGTCAGTCTTGTTAGAAAATTGCTAGAATCCAATTATTTTTTAAAAGCCCCTCACTGAAGCAAACCACGGGTGGCCTGATAGGCTAAGAAACATTAAGTCATCTGTCTAAAGCCCAATAAATAGTGCTGGGTAAAGTTCTCTGTCTGTGTGAAGTGTTCTCAATGCTGAACAGCCTCACGTGTTAATGATGACAGTAGTCTTCACACCGTGGCGGCATCATCGGTGCATAGAGTCCTTGAACTAGTCATCGTGAATAACACTGGGAGCAGGCTGAGTTCTTAACACGCCCAGGCTATTGGGGCTCCTACATGTTCTGTAATGTTATTGATTCCTGAAGGGATATGCCGGTAAATGGCTAGTATTTTCTTTCACGCTAAGGACTGAGTTGTATTTCTCTTCGTGCCAAGACCTATGAATCCAGTTCTGAACCCGAGCCATCTTTGATGAGATCATTCATTTGCGGCGGTTCTCATGTAGTGATGCACTTGGCCAAGATTCTAATGCTCCATTCCAATGACTAACATTGAAGACGTGTGATGGCATGCCTCATTGGATCACAATGATGGCGAGGACAGCACAGGGCCGGGCAACAGATCATTCTGTTGTGCATGCCCTGTGGACAGAGACATGTACCACGTCCCTACGAGTCAGAACCGACTGGACAGCACCAGACAACAGCCACGCAGAGATCCTCAAATGAGAACTCATTTCACTTTGTTTCCTTGTTGATTCTCAATTCTGGCCAAGGAGGCATCAATTTACAAAAGGGAACAGCTCTACTTCTTAGTGGAACCAGATTCCTTTAAACCAGTGCCCACAGGACACAGTCAACAGTTTGCTTGCTTAAGGGCCAAGTATGCTAACTAAGGAAGGTTATTCACCTCTGGGTCTCGGGGAAGACAGGAGAGAATCCAATCCCTCCACTTAAATTCTTAATTCCTTCCGGCATTCAGACCCTCTAAGTGAAAATTGACAACATGCAGCTGCTGCCTTTTAGCAAGGTGCCTGCTTCCACATACATCAGTCGGCCAGGAGAGGGACCCAGTGAACCACAGTCTGAATCTTATCCCTTGCTCCTTGCCTCTCGGCTCACACAATTCTTGCCAGGCCTGGCCTCCACTAGTCTCCAGCATGTTTGCTGCCATTAATGATCAGGGGGAAAAAAATCCTCAGCACATGGAAAATGAATTGAAAACAAGCCTGGATTCTAATCGCCACAACATCAAACGATCCAGATTTTTAAAAAGAAAACGAAAACGAAAGGCAGGCAATTAAACACATTACCTCCACAATGCTAAACATCTGGACCCGTATGTTTGAAAACATCCAACTATGATGTTTGAATGCGTGATTGCGTCCCCCACATACACTTTTCCTCCAGCTGTTTGGCATCAAGTAGACCATTGAGTTAAGCAGTGTGCTATACTGTTAGCGGCTCATTATTAGCATTAGCATTGTTTCATAGTCAACAACCACCTTATTCAAACATCGTTGCTTTATGAATCAAAGCCAGCTGGAGTTTCAGGAAGGAGACATTTTATGAAGAAAAAAAAATCAGTTTTGTGCCACTGGAGTGAGAAGCTGAATAATAGAGAAACTGTATGATCCGTGGTCCGGGGGATGTGTCATCAGGAAGCTGTGTTTACAGCCCTGAGCTGCGGTGCACTCTTGTTCCATTCTGTTGGCTCCGTTAGATAAAAATCTGTCTCAATATTAAAAGCGTTGTGGCAGAAATTTGCTTTATGTTGCTTGTTTTCCCATTTGCCGAGATATTGCCAAACTGTAAGTCCATAAAATGCAGTTTGGGTCTCTGCTGGAGCCAAACACAAACAAAACAAACAGAGGAGCGCAGAACACCACCACCGTGGGGAGAGCGAAATGTGACTGAAACAGTACTGTCTTCTTCTTTTGCTCCGTTTGCTTTTAAAAGTAGGATAGTGGCTAGTGATCTCCCTACTGAGTTCACATTTGTTCCTAAAACAAAAACCATTTTTCTCCCAAATGTCAGGAAACCCAATCTGTAAAGCAGGATTTGCATTCTAATCATGTGAGTGAAAGGGTTTCTATGCTGCTGCATGCCTGACACCAATGCACCCCTTTGCACAGGAAAGCGATCTGTGTACAGACTAGAGTAACTTCTCCAGAGAGATTGGGGGTGGCATGGGGTGGGGGACTGTTTGTTCCTCTAATCCAGAAGAGCATCTGTGTCATTGAGTGGAACTGCTGACATGTGTGGGGGGCGAGGTTGAGAGGGAGGGGACCGCCGGCAGAAAGTTCTACATGTGCAAAACTCCAGCCTCGAGTGTCAGCGTCAAACATCAATGCTTACAGGACCTTGAAGGACCACTTCCCTAGGTCAGAAATGGTTTCTGTGCCATTTAGTACAAATTATTCAGTGTGCTATACTGAGACCCATTTTCATTTCTCACCTGGAAAAACAAACATTCTGGAGACAAATGAGCAAAACATTATCAAGTGCAATGTTGCTATCTTCCTGGAGTAAGTTCTAGAAATTGAAGCTATTAAGGCTGTTTGAAAGAAAACAAATCAATTCAAGAAGTCTTCCCCCCTCCCTGCCACTTCCATTACTTTCTTAAAACCATGCCTTGAAAATATCTGAAGTCATTCTTCAGCAGTCTGAGCCCCTAAAACAGAGAGAAATTGGTGTGAGGTACTTCCTAAGCCATATCAATATCTCACATTCTTTTGACCTCATTGCACAATCAATGTATGATGGGGTCCTGATGGTGCAGGCATTTATCAGAAAAATTAGCAGTAACTTGCTGCTCTTTTCTTATAAAAATGATTTCAAGGAAAAATAACTCAGCGAAAGTCCTGTCTACAAGAATAACATACAAACAAATGATATTTTATCAACTACTGAACTGTTTTAACCTATTGTGAAATTTGGGGGGAAACAATCACAGGAAACCACTATGGAATAGCAATGTGAACCACATGTTCCCCGAAACATAAAATAAGGGTTCAAATAAAATCATTTGATCCCGAATTCTCACTAAGGATCATTATATGAATAAAAATAGTATCAAGACTATGCAATTTTAAAATACTACCTAAAGCTAGTGCATAAACTACTGTTATTAGTATCTCTGCGTGAAGGAAATTAAATCAATGAATAATGAAAAACATTTTACCATTTTGATTCAGGAATTATCTCAGCTCCCCAGATGAGCCAGTGAGATTGACTTTGGTATTAGACTTGCAGTCATTGGTCTAAGAATCAGGTTTTGAATCTTGAGGTTGTAAGCAGCTGGGGGTGGGGCCAGGTACTCAGTCACCCTCCTAGTATGTAGCAAAGCCTGGGGGTAAAAGAACGAAGTTTGGGCAGTCATTATTTCCGGTGTCTTATTTTACCTGTATCTCTTTTCTCCTCAACTGAACTCCCTTTCCCTATTCTGCATAAAAACTCACGTCCACCAATAACCAGATTTTCAAGCCCTTTTATGAACAGATAATTTTTTAGGATTTGGCGGTACAATAAAGCTTACACCCTAGTTAGAAGATATTAAATTGGGGGAGAAAAAAACACTCCAGAGAAGGTCACAAGTTCCAATGACAAAGAAAAATTTACATCCATGACAAATTAGAAATGATCTCACAGTTTAACAGGCGAGATCACAGCCATCCAGGGATACTGGGAATGGTGAGGACCAGGGAGTGAGGGAAGCCAGATGGGCAAAAGGACAGACAATGCCTTTTACAGACCCCAGGTAGACCAATTGGTGGCACTGGATATTATGGAGGAAGACCTTGAAGCTAAGTTAAAGAGCTTAGACACTTTTAAGGCAACAGCGAGTAACTTTGAAAGTGGTGTCACATGGGGTTGGTGATGTGTATTTTTATTACAG